GCACATTACGGAATACAAGTTGGTAGAGAAAAGGACATGGGCCCAATTCGAGTGGCTGATTTAAAATCTACAGACCCTAACGACCATAATATGTATGTGTGTGCGTATGTACATATATATTGTGAGTATGTGCGCGTATGAATGATGTGTATATGTGAATATGTAAAGAAACCATGCCTCCCAATGCAACCCCCAATATCAGAAAAAAATAACAAGGAGGAGGAGGAGGAGGAGGAGGAGGAGGAGAAAATGTTGATTTACAAGAAGAGATTATAGGTAATTAGGTTTCTGAAAATGCAAATTAGCGTTTTCAGAGAAATAGATCTCTGAAAATGCAAATTTTCACAACAATAATCACGGGGAAAATCATCAGATTAAGGATGTATCAAAGAAGAAGGATGCTGATAATGATGGTTGGTTAACTTGCGATGAAGATGCCTACCAATCTTAGAGTAGTTGTAATCATTGTTTATTCGGACTAATTCTCTTACCTTCGTTGTTTTATTTATTTTTTATGACGTTTCATTTTCGAGTTTGTTCTTTCTTGAAATATTTGAATTTGGCCTAAATGCGCATGCGCATTTCGTATGATACACATAACATCCAATGATTCTTTCAATATATCTTTGAAACTGTTGTAGATTCAATGCCATTAACTATAATCATTCTTTGCACAATGATACTTCACCTACTATATTCTCTACTCAATCTACTGCTAGATATTAAATTTTGCAAAACCTGAAATCAATTTTCAAGAATTCTTGTGGCTTGCATATAATTTATTGAAGAATACCACTTATTCATCTGTTAGTACAAACAATATTGCAGGTGGCAAAAATTTAGCTCAGAGGTCACTAGTGGGTCACTTTCTTTCTATAAAGTAGTACTTTTAATTTCATCTTATATCGACTTCACTTTCGGAAGCACTTGACGCAACAATTCTAAAGCCTTGATTTTTCCGTCATTTAATTAGTTTTGGTTTTGTATAATGTATTTTAAAAGCCAAAAGCTTTTTCAGGGTTAATTATGTTTAAAAAGGGTTTTATAGAGCGTCTATAATAATAGTGATACAACGTCTCCCTTCTTTGTTCCACTTGCCAACTCTATCTCCATATTATTCAAGTGTTCTGCTCGATTTTATTAAAAGGAAGCAACCAAAATATCTTTTCTTCTGTGGCCTGTTGGGGACATCTTTACCCGTGTAAAGTGTAGTGTAAGTGAGCATTCATATGGTTCCCTATTTTTCCACATAACTTCTTCCGTTGTACGATTGCCGGGATAAAAGAAAAAAAAGCTCAAGACAGATGTGCTAGTGGATCATGTGCAATACAAGTTGACGAACTAGCAACCCACTCCATCCACTAACCTGTTTCACCTACCATGCTTTTTATTCTTTTTGTTATTCGCTTTCCTTTTATTCACCTCTTCAAGTTTTGTTTCTTTCTGGGAGTGGCGGTGTCCACCAGGAACATATGGTGCGTCATAATTCAGTCTAGCGCGGCCGCTTTTCAAGGGTAATTGGTCGTACTGTTAAACAAAAGCTGATCATTCTTTGGAAAGAAGCGTTTATAAAGCGCTATAGATTGGATTAAGCGAGAGAGTCAACTTTATGTGAATGTGAAGAGTGAGGCGCGAAAACGTCCCGAGGAAAAAGACGAAAAGCAATATTTATTTTATTATGTATATTCGCTATTTTCACTTTCTAAATACACAGTGTTTGTACTTTCGCTTTCATATGCAGAAAGAGTAATAAAAAGCATACCTACAATAAACACTTAGAAAAAGCTTACCACTGCTACGTGCTTCATTGCTATTCATTACTGCCGATCAGTTACAACAGAGGTGAGGACATGTCGACACGGTTAATCGCTGCACTTGGCCGAAAGGCATTGCTGGAACGTCAACTTCAATTAAATGAAAAAGTCGAATTATCTGCCCCTTGAAACAATTAGAATAGCCTTTCTACGTCAGAGACAAGTGGCTCGAGACAGAATAACGGACATCGTATAACAACGACATCTTGAGATGCTATTACTGGAGGTGATTGGACCGCCTCTGGCCACCTAAAAATAACTATGCCAGCATTTATTTGGTTGAATCATTATGCTGATAGATAACAGCAACAGAATAAGAATAATGATGACATCAACATCAACATCAACAGTGTTAAAATAATTGTCTAAAGGAAGAATAAGAAGAGACAGAGAGGGAGACAAAGAGAGAGAGAGACAGAGAGAGAGAGAGAGAGAGAGAGAGGGAAGGAGAGAGAGGGAAGGAGAGAGAGAGAGGGGGGAAGGATGGGGAAAAGAAAGACAAAAGAAAATTTAGTTTTAATGAAAAGGAAGTTAATAATAATGATAATATATAAAAACATTATGAGACTTTAAATGTTAATCAGTTACGAAACCGGGAATCTCATAACTTAATAAGAAGATACTCAGTTCTTATGGCAATAACTCGAAATGAGCATATCTCGTGTTACCACAACAACGGAATAACTCATTGCTAAAAATATATATTTTTTATTTTTTTGTTTTGTGTTAGCTTTCTTTGGATATTTTAAAATCTTTATGATTTAAAAGTCAACAGGGATTTATAGTCCAGCCAGGCAAATTTTAATAACGTATTGAACTGACGGCGTTAAATAAAACCTTAAATTTCAAACTAACGCGCGACAATATAAAAGTAATAGTTATATAATAATACATATGTATAAAACGCAATATACAATGGACCCGTGACCGAGTGTTAGAACCATTTAGAATCTCACTATAGTCAATATATTATCATTCTGGGGAAGTGACGCAAGTGTGTGACCTGAAAACCATACCACCGGTTGACCCAAGCCTTGTGAGTAAAATTTAGTAGACAGAACTATTCAGAAACCGTCGATAGATGCGCTAACACGGCGTCGCAAGCCATCGTGACCGATTTTTATTCGCTGATTTCTTCTCTTTCTCTTGCCTTCGATATTTTATATGAATATTAAATTCTCAAAACCTTCTTTGCTAATTCCCAAGACTTTCAGTCGTGTTTCCTTTTCTGATTTTTATCAACAGTTTCTTTACCGTTGCTCTTCTACTTAGAAAATCCTCGTCGATGATATTCATTAATTTTCTATCTATTGTTCTAAGGTACGCGCCCTCAGTAATTCGCCATTAGTTCTAATTTCATATAAACGACAGAATATTGATGAGTGAGAGGGATAGAGTGGGAAATCAGTTTTAACTTTTGTGATTCTCTATGTTATAAGTGTAAATAATCGAAGAGAATTCGTGAAGAGAATTAGAAAAGAATGATTCTAATATTTCAAGAAATCATTGCAAAACAATAGAGACGTTGAAAATGAAGACGGACAATAAGACTAATAATTTTGTGGAAAATACAATAATATTAAGAGCTTGTGAGTGTGGGTGAAGGGAGGATTGATTTTTGATTGGATGTCTTCTGGGATTCTGGTTGTAAATGTTGACAAACCTTTACAATAACAGGGCAGATTTTTGGGAAAAGTAACACAAAAGATTTCTGTAGCTTTTGACAAGTGACATTTTTGATGAGACGAGCAAACACGCCGGTCTATTGGGATTGCTTATTGTTGACCGGCAACAGGGGCAGTTCGGATGCACGAGAGATAAGGGTCTCAACTAACAAAACTGATTGGAGAGAGAGAGAGAGAGAGAGAGAGAGAAAGAAAGGGATAGTATAAAAATCTTAAGAAGCAAAAGCATAGATAGGTTGATACCTCACGTTGGAATAGTGTGGTTAATAAGTTTGGTTCATAGTCTTTTACATCGAAGTGAGTTCGATCTCCATTAGGTTCCCAATATATATATATATATATATATATATATATATATATATATATCCTTGAACCAGACTGAACTAGAAAAGTATCGGTAAAGAGAGTGGGATAAAATAATGTAGATAATAGATAAGAGAAAACTGAGATAGATAAGTAGATAAATAATTGACAGACTAAGATAAACAGATAGATAATGGACAGACTGATATAGATAGATAGACAGACAGGCAGAGAAATAGATATGAACAAACTCAGACAAAATATAGACGGCTAAACGAAGAGATTGATAGCTGAAAAAGCTGAAAGGAAAATTAAAAAGGATGGTAAAAAAAGGCAAGGAAAAAGAAAGAGAAATTTGAAAAACAAGGAAAGTGAAGAGAAATCGATAAAATCTAAATAAATAATCAAAAACATACATCGAAAACCAAAAGAAGTGTGTCCGGTATAGGTTTCTTCGATGACCATGAAATTTTGCTTAGTATTTCAAAGGTTTTATAATACAAACAAGAATAAACGATATCAATAGTCGCATCATCGAATTATTCATTTAACTTTTTAAAATGTTATTTTTGTAATAAGAGTTTTGATAAAAAAAGACATTGCAAGAATAGTAATTACAATTAATGAGACTCGTTTGTTTAGAAAATGGAAATATGAATCAGTCGGATTCTTTATCCGGCTTGTAATCAGTAACCGGCTGTGTTGAAAACAAAGAAAAAGGATAAAATGCGTAGAGAAAAAGAAAGAATAAGAAAAGAATGAAAGAAAAAAAAAGAAATAAGAAAAGAAAGAAAAGAAAAAGCAAAAAAAGAAAAGAAAAAAAGCAAAGAAAGAAAAGAAAAAAAAACAAAGAAAGAAACAAAAAAGCGAAGAGAAAACTTGAAAGAAGAGAGAAAGATACAAAGATACAAAGAAAGAAAAGAGAAAAAGTCAGAAAGAAAAACGAAAGAAAGAATAACGAATAAAGAAAGAAAGAATGTATAATAAAGTGGTAAGAATAAGAGCACAAATTTAACGAAATACCTGCTAAATTACAAGGCATAGAATCTTTTTTCCCCCGAATATTTATTCGCTAAATTAAACAAAACCGTTCTTTGGTGAGTTAAATATATGACCGAGATCTTTAAACACAATTTTGCGCCTATTAATGGGCGGTGTAATTCCTTAGTTGAGTAAAAGTAACGCTATCTACCTGTCTATGTTTGTATCTTCCTTTTTGTGTCCTTCTCTTTCCATCTATCTATCTATCTATCTATCTATCTATCTATCTATCTATCTATCTATCGTTGGTGGCTGAAACAATGTGTATTCCTTCGTTGAAAGCGATGATTTCGAATACCAATTTTCTTCCTCTTTGAAATATTGGTGCAACAATAGTCAAATGCACTGACTTTTAGAATTTTGTGTAAACAAATTTTATTATATAATACATTTATTAAAGCAATGCCACTTTATATGTTGTTTAGAATTTAGTATGTTTATTATTAGTAATTTACATCTTTCTTTTACAGATTATAAGTATATTATTCATAGTTCGTACCTTGCCCATATGTTCGTCCCAACTAAAGAACACATTAGTAATGTTGTATTCTGAGTTTCATAAAAGTGCCAATGCAAGTGCAGCAACAAAATCCATCCAGCTCCCTTATGGAAAAGAAAAGAAAAAAGACGTTGAGTAAAAGAAGTTGTAGGAAATTTTAGTCTATGTTGATGAGCCAAGGGAGAGTCATCCAAAATGACTCGATTCAGAGGATTTGGAAACTGCTGTTCCAGCAAATCCTGTCACTATGGCTAGGGAGATCAGTGAGAAATGTAATGTTTGTCATAAGACAGTCCTACGCGAATGGAAAAGGATTAGAAAGGTTTCACTGGTTGGAATCGCCTACAGCATGTCAATTATTGTGAGTCATTGCTTATACAACAATCTCATTAGAACAGACTTGTTGCTGGTGATGAGAAATAAATATTTTTCCATAATGTGAAGCGCCATCGTTAGTTGATCAGTCGGGGAAACAGATTGGCTCAGCAACCGAGAGAACCTCCTCCAAAGAAGATCATATTGAATATTCAAGGAATAATCAATTATGAGCTGTTAGACAATAATCAAACAGCCAATGCTGATCTCTACTGCCAATAATTTCGTCGTTTGAAAGCAGCTTTGAACAGAAAATGCCCATCCTTAGTCAACAGAAAGGGCGTAATCCCCCATCACGATAAGCCCTGTCCTCAAACTGTACGATTGACTAAAAATCACTTAGAGGAGCTTGATTGGGAAAAAAATTGGTTCAGCCTTCATATTCTACAGACTTTGTTCCTTTTGATTACCATTTGTTTAAAGGTTTGCAGAACCATTTCGATGGCCTAAGGTTGACATCAAATGAAGTGGCTGAATAAGAATGTGTCTAAAATTTGACATCAAAATCTAAACAATTTTACGAACGTGACATCAAAAAACATGTTGATAGATGGACTGATGCTCTTGGAGGCAATGTAGCATATATTGATTAAATATTTTTACAAGCTTCAATATATCCATTTGTAGTATACTCGATAAAAGTGAACAGAATTGTCGTTCCAACTTGATACTTATATGGTAGATCTACTTGATATATATATATATATATATATATATATATATATATATATATATATATGTCTAGATTACAGTTCAGTTTTTGAAAAATAGATGATCTATAATCTTGTCAAAAGTTGAGCAAAAGAACTGTGATTTAAGCTCTTACATCAGTGTTTACTGCTTCAGTTTGAAATTTAAAATTTCGAAACAGATCCTACACATAGAAAAGAATCCTATCAACAGCCAGTGTATTAATCTGATAAAAAAATCCATCATTAATCTGTCCTTTTTTCTACTTCTTTTTTTCCTTACTGATTTTGGCTTCTCTTTTTGTATCTATCTCACTCACAGTTTCGTCAACATCATTCCATATTTGACTCTGCCGAAATAAATACTCCTTATCGATAGAAGACCGTTTTTCTTTTCATTTTTCATTCTACCTTTTCTCTTTGACTTTACTCTTTTTCATTTGCTTTCCCTATTAATTTTCCCGCTCATCACCTCTAAAAAATAATTGAACAATTGATATACAATCTCCACACAGAAGAAATATTTAGAAAAGCCATTATCCTGTTCTATTTTTTTGTCTTTTTATTTCTCGCTATCTGCATTTACCTCATCGCCATTTTGACAGCCGGTATCATTAACAATGGCTGCCATTCAAGAATCGTTACAATATACAAATGTCACACGGCTGAGCTGCCTTTTCAATACTTTACCCCCACTGCGCATGTCATATCGATAGTTCATTGTCAGTATATTATGCCGCCGGACAAGCAAATCGTTGTTATTTCCGGTTCCTGTGCGACAGTAGTTAACTCGTGGCACGCATTACAAATAGCAAAAATCGTTAGTGCCGGTAGCGCGAAAAAGATTGTTTCGATTTCGAATAAGTTATCTTCTCTCTCCTGGTGAGCAGTGAACGACAGAAATACACTCTGTTTTAATTTGTTCATATCTAAATTTGTTCATTTCACTCTCTCCGTTTATCTATCTATCTATCTATCTATCTATCTATCTATCTATCTATCTATCTATCTATGTTTATCTGAGCCATGTATCACAATGCATAGGCACCCTATCGTAGTGCAATTTTAATCAAGCTGATCTTAGATTAAAGAGTGATGAATTCGACCCTCACTGAGTGCTCTATACTTGTGTTTATGTACCAATATTAAGCTAAGATTATTAAATTGGTCTCTCACTGTAGAGTAATGTTTAGTGAGTTCCTTTTTAATAGTCATGTTTTGTAATAATAGCCTTCTAAAATCATGGCCTTGATCTAATGTTAAATTTAGTAAATACTATTATAACAAATCTTTCAATCTGTATTTGAGTTTACATTTTTTCTCTGCTTGATGCATACCGCTGATGCATAAATATTATTATATATGCATGTATATATATGAAGTCCTGCATGCACAAGATATTTCAGCAAGAAATGAAACACGGGTATTTAATGGGGCGATTAACCTGACACGGAATTATTATTTGAATTTTGATCTGAAATTGTCTCTATGTAATGTTTGATTTCTGTGATGAATACTCACAATTGAATTAGATTTTGTTAAAAAAGAAATATTTATTTATTATGGAGTTGTTGTAGAAAGTTGTAAAGGTAGCACCAGTCGGCTGGCGATCCATTCTTAGAAGAGGATACATTTGTGCTCATGTACCGATGTGACAAATTCCTAAAATTCGATGATTACAACGTGAAAAAGTAGCATAGAAGCAAAGGCATAATATTCTGTTTGTATAGTAATAAACATATTTGATTAATAAATGTTTGTACCTTACGTTTTGTATATCACTCGTGTGTGTGTGTGTAGGGTGCGATTTTGTCTAAATTACGTAGAAATGAAAATAACATTGGCATCTCATTTTAAAATATATATTTAGCAAAATATCTTGAAATACTAAAGAGTAAATTTATTCAATAAATTCACCATTGGTTTCAACCACGGACTCTAGACGACTTCCTGCAACTCTTCTTAATGGTCTCCTTGTTTAAGTTGGTGAATGGTGCCATAATCTCTCGCTCAATTGCGCTCCACATATAATAATCAATGGGGTTGCAGTCTGGGGAGTTAGGTGGCCAGATGTAAGGGGTGATATGGTCGCAGAAATTGTCTGACAACAATGACATGTTTCTCCTGCTTGTGTGACTTGGTGCAGAGTCCTGTTGCCAGAAATAAGGTCTTCTAGCAGCCACCTTCTTGATCCAGAGCAGCACTACCTCATCAAAGCACTCTGTGTTGAGTCTGTAGCCCTGTGGGAATATGAATGGAGGTATAACATCGCCATATCTAGTAATCACTCCAAACACCATGATGTTGGCTGGATATATCATTCAACTCTTTTCCGAATCCTTTGCACTGTCCTCAGATTGATTCCCAAACACTGAAATGTTTGTATTGAGCTTCGGCGCGAATGCCAAGCAGTACAACACGCCGTTTCAAAATCTCTGGTGGAGTGAATTGCCTCATGGTGGTCTTTTTCTAACAGATAGTGCCCAACCGACCTTACTATACTATGCAGTCGACGAAAAAAAACAATGCGCATGCGCGAAATTAAAATATAAAAGGTGGCAATTTACCCATCGCACACACACACACACACACACACACTATATATATATATATATATATATAGCGTTTGCAAACATTTACACGCATAAAAATCTGCATACGTTACCATGAATATATACCAATGAGTGTTTATATGTATATGTTTGTACTATATAGATGAATGAAGAAATATAAAAGTTTGCTGCACAGGCGAAAAATATAAACATTTCCAACCAAAAAGAAAACTCCAGTAAATACAGCAATGCTATTTTTTAATTTGTATTTTTTTACCTTTCAAACTGAAAATTTCTTGTCGTGACACTAAATTCTATTCTGAGCATGCGCACAAAGGCGGTAAAAATCTGGCATCTAGCATGTAGCCCGCCAGAGGTCATCGTATCACGGAGCTTCACATGAACAAACAAAATAAGAAGTCACTGTCTCAATTCATCCTTCCGGTTGATAAAATCCTCTGTCACACATATCTATCATCTATCTATTCATCTATCTATCTATCTATCTATCTATCTATGTACGTACTCGTGTGTGTATATCCGCACTCACAAACATATTTATAAGAAAATAAGGTACATACGACACACACACACACACATACATATAATTTTTTTTAAACAGAAGATAATCATAAATTACATATATGAGTAAATCTGTAAATGCGATGTACATATGAGAAAATCGATACAGGCACAGTCACAGTGTGTGCATGTGTGTGTGCGTATTCTGAAACCACACATACACACACGTATATATGTATATGATAATAATATCTATATATATATATATATATATATATATATATATATATATATATGTGTGTGTGTGTGTGTGTATGCGTTCATATTATGTGTATGAATGTATGTGTATATTTATGTGCATTTGCATGCATAAATATATAAATTAAAAAAGAACTTCTGTAAAAGAACAAAAAATGGATGCAAAATGGTAGAACGTTTGAGTAAAAGGGAACCAATGCTGTTCTGCTTTTGGCATTCATCTTTGCTCTCTTAGTCGAGACTTGGAAGACAAATGTCATCGAGTGTTTCAGTGCCGACCTCCTACTTGCTTGAACTGTGCACATCTATCAAACAGCCGTTTTAACATGTTCAAGATATAACACATTTAAAGAAAAAAATTGAACTATTTGAAAAAAATAAATTATTTCCTTGTTTTTCTGCCTTTATTGTCTCAAATGTATAAGATTGTGGCTTGCTCGTGAGACCTTGCCGGTGTCGCTACGGGGGATTTCTGTTATTATAATAAAGGTTTCGTGGAGATGTATTATTGTCAATACACGATTGCTTAAGTTTGTATTACGCAAATACAACATCAAGTCACTTTCAGAGAGAAACACGTACAGCTGCAGTAATGTAGACAAGCGCTCACAGAAATAGACGAAGACACGCTCATGAGGCAAATAATATAAAACCGTACATATAAACGTTCACTTGCACTTAAATGCAATCACACAGAGAAAGTAAGAGAAAAATCATTACTTACAGAGATAGAGATAGGAAAACAATTATACACATAATTACTTTTTAATTATTCATTTAACGCGCATTCTTAGTGAAACCAAATGGAATGTAGTATGGACATTTTCTGCTACCTTTTTGAGTAGTGTGAAAATAGCCGACAAAAAGCAGCTTCAAAGGGAATATGATGTTAGGATAGATTTTCATCATTTAATTTATCGATCTGTTGGGTAGCATCTCCTATATGTAGAGATTTACTAATTACTGGTGTGATCAACCGTTTCCTTATAAGGAAACATTCGCCATTCATTGATTGAACAGTTAACTTACTCTCGGTTGGAGTTTATGAAATCTTTTTCTTAAAATATTTTTATTTAATTAATTAGATTTTTCATGGCCACTAACTGTTATTTTGAGATTCCTTTAAAAACTTTTGCTTTAGGAAGTGGGGAAAGTTATCATTTTGATTATATCATTATTTTTCTTTATAACTACGCGTGTTAACATTTTTGTTGTTGTTGCAAGTCTTCAAATTATAATTTTGACATTTGGAAAAATCCTTTGAGTTTCTGTCGCGCCACTCTATACGGTCGGATGAAGAATTGTCTAAAGACTTATAGGATTCATTTATTTGAAGTCAGTTTTAATCATTGACCTGAAATAACGGTTGGTATATAGATAATACTTTAGATATCGTTGAACGGGTTTGGTTCTATGCATGACATTCATATACGAATGACGAGAACATGATTCAAATCTTCAGGTTACTATTTTAATTTTGTAGCAATTTGGTATGTTGGATAAAAGTACTTCTACCCTGTGTTCAATTTCCTTATATCCTATACTAAACTTGTTATAATTGACACTATTTGCTAATCTTGCCATTGGCTGACACAAAGCTATAAGAATAGATTTCCTAACGGTACCATAGCAGTGAGAGCGCCCTCTGTTGGTTTAATGACTATCTTGCTATTGCTTTGTCCGACGAAAGACAACAATAATGGAACGCCTGGTAAGATACGAATTTACGAGATAAACTGTTGTTTTACAGATGCGCCTACATGAATGATATGAATAAATATTTGCTAAGTTTCGCAGAGGTAAAAGGTTGTAAGTTAGATGTAGCTCTTCACTCTGCAACAGGCGCCCAAGTAGATATGAATACAAAAAAAAAAAAATATCTTTCTCTCTTCTTCATACACACACGTACACACGCACACGCACACACATGCCCAGCGGGGGGTTGGGGAGAGAATTTGAAAAAAATTACCATATATTTACATATATACGCATGTACATGACGCACCTACAATGCTATAATGAGTGCTTCAGTCCGCACCCTACTTTTTGTTGAAACTGAGAACTAAACAAGACCAAATTTGTCCACTTCAACTCAATCGGTGACAATGCTATTGACAATTTGTATTACAGCTATTAATTTTCAAGAAACATAAGAAAAATTTATTTATTTTTTGGAACCACTACCTTTAAATATTTTTATATGTGGAAAAATTTACAGGTTTCATGAAAAAAATGCTTATTCAGAATCAAAACAACGTATACAAGGGTAGATCAATAATTTCAGAGCCTAATACGAAGTTCTTAGCTACATTTTGACTTGGGATTTCCTCTGTAGAATATTCTTTCTTTGTGGTTTATGTTCATTACTGACTAAAGTGAATTTTTAAGAAGGAGTTTATACTGAGAAATAAATGTTGGGTCGGTAAAACCAATGCTTTTTTTCAATATGAAGTTGAAAATTTATTGATATATCTAATTATGCATGATTTTCTCTTACACTCACTGATATCTACACGTATATTCTCAATGCAACTATATATATATATATATATATATATATATATATATATAATGTGTTAGTCTGACATGAGGCGGAATGAAGGAAAAGGTCATTTAGAAGAGATTATTGTACTAGTCTTCCAAGTAAGAGCCGGATGGACTTGAAAGTCACTCGTATCAATTATAATTTTTAACCTGACTTGAATACTGGTGTGAATTATGTGATGCAAACTTTACGTCTAAGGAATTTGAATTTGAATAGATTCACGAATCTGCATCCGTCCAGTTTCTCAGGTCTTAACGCGTCATTATATATATTTCTCGCAATCACTACACCCGAAAATAAAGAACTTTTTAAAAAAAAAAATTCTTTCTTTCAAGTAGCCATTTTACTCCTTAAATTAACAGACATTTGGCGAGCACTTCGTACCCAATAACATCGGCTAAGGTGCAGCACTCTCCACACCTGATTGGCTTCATATTTAATGGGTATCTGTATATGTCGAATAGATAGAGATTAAATCCCTATGAACATGATCACAAACACGCACACACACACATACACACACACACATATATATATATATATATATATCAAAGAGGAAAAAGTTTCTTGTGATGCGTTTCGTCCTTTACGACTTCATTGGAATAAATTTCTTGATGAAGTCCAAAAAGACTAAACACGTCACAAGAAAACTTCTATTTTGTCATACATTTTCCCCAATATTGTTCCTGATATATAAAAATATATATTGTAATCGCATATGGATATATACAATTATATATGCACACGTAGGCATATATTCAAGTATATACAAGCTTAAACAGATGAAATAACATGTATATATTTATTATACATATATATATTTGTTTATCTATGCGCATACACACACATATATATATATATATATATATATATGCGCATAGATAAACATATATATATATGTATAATAAATATATACATGTTATTTCATCTGTTTAAGCATGTATATACTTGAATATATGTCCACGTATGTATATATAATTGTATATATCCATATGAGATTACAATCATATCTGGTATTGTTTTATATCTATATATATATATATATATATATATATATATATGCGCATAGATATACAAATATATATATGCATAATAAATATATACATGTTATTTCATCTGTTTAAGCATGTATATACTTGAATATATACATATATTTGCTTGTGATTTATTTTTCTTCTTTATTAATCCAAATCTTAACTGAAATGTCGCACAAATTCTTTCAAAAATCGTGCTTAACATAACTGCTCATTTTTTCGCCCATTACGTTATCGAACAATAAAAAAAGAATTGCATCGACGTATCAAAATTCCCGCTCTTCGGGATGAAACAATCGCCAAAAGGAATCATGATGTTACCAACTATGTATTTGAAGGTATTTTTTGCAGTTAAATCACAGCTGGGAGGTAATGTTCAGATAAATCATGAAAAAAAGATAAAAGATCCCTTTAAAAAGCTATTTTCATATAACTCTTGTCTATAGAGAAAAGCGTCCTACAACAGATTAATTCCTATAATGTTAGACACATCCAAACTATCAAGTCTAGCTTTTCGAATCTGTCTGTATTAATGCGAAACATATTTTCCTCAGTACGAGTTATAAGTTGGCCTGAAAAAAGCGCTTGAAAAATGATACATGAAGATAAAATCTTTTTAGCCTCAAATGGTTTTGCATATATGAAATGGAGTCTAAACAAATTTTACTTTGGAAATTAAATATTCGTTAATAAACTCGAAGATCATCATTAAAAAAATGATAGGGAAGTGCTTTTAATTAAAATAAATGATACTGGTTAAATTGAAAATTATATCTATAGCTAAGAATGAATTACACATATTTTCTTTGAGATTTCTCGGACATTCAGGTCAGTAAATATTGTTAATACTGTTTAGCATTTACTTAAATATTTGTATCTATCAAAAATAACGTATAAACAAAACAATATTAAAAAAAAACATATCAACATATGTCTTCTGTAAAATTTTAAAAGTATCTAAGTTATAGTTTTTCAGAAAGTGGCGTGCTATTTCACTCCAAGGGACTTGCAGTTTAACAACAATTATTTTCTAATTAAATATAAATTTAACAAAGTATCTAAATATCTCGAGATACAAAAGTCTTTTTTGTTCCCTTTTTTAGAATAGTTGTCACCAACATACGAAAGTCAAAATGTCCTGCTCCAAAATGATTGATTCCGTT